TCATCTCCAATATTTCTGCGCAGAGTTTCTTATTACCAGTTCGCTTTGCATTCACGCCGTTTACCCAGTTTCAGCCCCTCTGGGTACCTTTGAAGCTCCATCCCACCCTTCACACAATCTGCCTTCGCTCGAGCTTCCGCACAATTAGAAGTGAGCTCCAACTAAAGTTCCGTCACCGATGGTCACTTCAACATGTACCAGCCGTAGGACCTTTAGCGACCGCCGCTTACTTTTTAGAAGTTAGGCCAAAATTTGAACTTGGACAGAAATTCACTCCTGGGGTAGTTTGAGCTCGTGGACACGAGTATGGCACACGGAAACGTGGGAAGAGCGCACCACAAGCCCTGACATGCCCAAGCCTTCTTCTAGACTTTTAGTTCAGCTAAGAACAGTCGGAAATCTTATGTGCAGGCAACTAAAGGCGAACACTAGCCTCTTTTTGGGGAGTCTTTGGAAAAAGCAGAACTTGTGGTCTAGCGTGGTATCTTTTTTACGATTCTTGTTCGAGAGAGAAGGCTCCCTCATAGCATGAGCGCGCTTTCATGCCACAAAGTAAGACAAATCCACAACTCCGTTCGGAGAAATCAGACTCTGAAGGGGGATTTGAGATCAGCGTCTGAAAATGCGTCTGATGAAGGGTCCTGTCACCAATGGTCTACGTTCCGCGATAACCCCATTGGGGGAAACGTAACCGTTGCACATCCCTCATTATTGCGTCCTATTGTTCCTGCCTTCCTCTTGGGCGAGCAGATGCGCGCCCATGAGGAAAGCTTAGCGTTCATGAGTCTCTGCCCAACCCGTCATCGAGGAATGAACGTTGGAATTACCGCAGAAATAATGCTCACCTGATTTACAATTAAGATAGAGCGTATACCGTCAGGCCCTCGGCGGTGATCGGACAGACATCATTGGGGCCGTGATCTGAATGGCGAGTAAATTTAGATGTGACCGCGAGAAATGAAAGTTGAAGGCAGTCGGGGAACGCTTACGTTCAGCCTTACTGTCCCATATAAGAGAATAAAGATGACCTAGACAGTCGCTATGTTCTCGCATTGAATCCATACACGATAGACTACCCCTCGAGTGTATTCGATGTTTTGGCGTCGAGAACGAGGAGAATGACGCCGATACAGGCAACTGAAATGAGATCTGCTGAATAAACAATGTTTTATGACCTGCATCTAATACAAAGCGCAAAAGGTCGACAGAAGGGGTACGGGTCAGGGGATCCGAGGTGTGGTGACACGCGGAAAGCGGTGCAGAGAGCAAGGCATTTCCTAGCCAGTTGACTCGACTTCCCATTTTCGCTACAAATTAGTTCGGTCCTAGTGCAGTGGCCACGTCATGTCAAATGCACTGCCGCATCCACTCCTCGTATCGTCGCCATTCTGATGTCCTGGTTCCCAGCTCCAAGATAGGGACTGCGTCGGACATGAGGGTTACCCTGGGGTAATACGGGGTCAACTTTTTTCCCTACTGGAAAACCCGGAAAAATGACTGTAATTGCGCCAACAGACTTCTCGGGCAAGCATCTTAACCACAGATAGTGAAGACTTCCCCTATGACGACTCCCATGCAGAGGACATTCTCCCACCCTATTGCTTGTGACATATACAATCCGTCAAGAAAGATTGTAGGCTCCCTGCTACTGACCGTGTTCCATCCCTACTCCTCTAGCGCACAAATTTTCCCCTCCAGCGAGCTAACTTCATAAAGTGGTGGGGGCGCTTTTCCGCCCGCAGTCTTTCTGGTCTTGCAGAAAACACCGGAAATTTCGCCATTTCCCCCAAATCTAATAAAGAGTTCAGCGAGGCTGATTACCTCCCTCCTCCCCTACGATTTCTTTCGGCGTTCGCGCTAGCAGAAGGACTCAATAAAAATGAATTAACGATACAGAACATAGGAGGTCATAATTCAAGCGACATACAGCCGTCTTCGCTATTAGATACCGGGGCGTGTCATAGGCTGGTCTTGGCGCGGCCGCCAGCCCAATTCCCACCAATTGTTGTCGCTTGCCCGCTTCAGCGATTGTGGAGAGCGCACTGGCAGCCGGAGTCAAGCTCAGGGCCGCGCCTTGCACGCCTGTGTGTCCTAGCTAAAGCTGCGACTGGTCATGTAACAATTGGAAACACCCCGACGTTTCAGCAATGAATTAAAGGCTAGGCACCAAGTAGTTTTGAGGGGAGCGGGGGGGCAGCGAATCACGGCGCGCCTGTCGACTTTCTCTGCTTTGCGGCCTTCTGCGTTCTGCTACGCTTAACCATGGAGATGGACATAGAGACGCTGCCACTTACCCTTCCTCCCACCCCGCCCCTCAACTACTTTGGCCAACGTCCGTCTGCAGCCCAGGCTGAGTTTTTTTCCCTCACTCGATTTGTCGAAGGAAATAGCCACAATTCTATCAAGGGAAAAAAGAAAGTTAAGAGGGTGCACGCAGATAAATGATCACCCACGTCATGTCTGCTCACTGGCGTCTCCGCACCCCCAACATAATGTCCGCGTTAGGCTTTCAGAATTGATGCCTAGGCAACTTCCTCCGAAGATGTTGAGTAAAAAGATGGCGTAGATCTTATCCAACACCTGGCGTAGATTCGCTATCTATGCTCGTGAAGAACTGGAGGAACGAACACGCTTGATGTGGCATTACAGTGGTAGCACATGCCCCTCCATTTCACCACAGGATACCAAAGAAGCTTTGCGTTCTTGAACTCATTTACAATAATCGGTGACATACCTGTTCCTCTTCCGCAGGTGACTTGTCAGCATCTGCCAACGACTTCAATGATTTGTCCTTCTCGCTGGAGTTTATGCTCTGCTTCCGGCTTGGAGCTTTCTAAAATACCGGATTTCAGTCTATCTGAACTTGGGTTTCTCTATGGAGCGCCATACGGAATACAAACATAAAAGGAATTGTCATAATCAAAATGAGAAATAAGAAATAGCAACATGAAAAGGAAGTGTAAATGTAGAAAATATACTATGACAGTTTTATAAGAGAAGCAAAATGTCTGTAGAGGGCCAGGGTGTGCTCAATGTGGACGGGGTTCGCGCTTAAAATTTCAAAATGGCGAAGTAAAATACGAGCGGTGGAAGAGGTGGTAGTTCGAAATCTCCCCTGCTAACTAACCAGCGTTTTGCAGCAGATGGACGAAGAAGCAAACCAGCCCCCAAAGTGCAAGTAGCCGGCTAAATGAACCGTGATTTAGTTAGCCAAGCTCGGCAAGTTGCGTCGTTATAAGTTCCTCAGTTTCATCCTAGAGAACAAGAGAAAAGCTGTAGAAATGGCAAAACTTTACTCTTGAATGATCGCTTCCTGTAGTTGAGTGGCCGTCTGATTGAGTGCGTTTGCTAATCGTTCAAAGTAGACAGCTGATACCCGCTTTGGATAGGTGGCATAGGAGGCACCGAAGTCTCGCAAGACATCATAAGAAGTGGAGGGCTCGCGTAGACGTCTCATGGCTTCGGACATAGCCGTCACAAATCTCTGAAAAATCGTATTTGATTAGAATATCGTGGGAATATGGTAGGATTCATATCAGAACAAAAGGCGTACCTTTGGATCTGGGACGGGCCACGCTTTCTGCATTTTTTTGGTTTGTTTTATGCTCAGGGAAGCTTTGTTTGGCCATCAAAGATCCACGGTAATGGAAAGTCCCCAGGGTCAAATAGAACTCCGATACGTGCAACAGTGGTGCTACTTGCAGGAATTCCAACTGCACCAACATGGGATAACAGTATTTCGGCGCAGTTTGCTGACGAGGGGGGGGGGCGCATATGGTACGCATGAAAGCAGGCAAATCACCAAAAAGTCAACGCACCACCCCTAACAAACAGCCTAAAAAAACGTAAATACGGCGCCCCCCCGCCCCCTACTTTACAACGTCCCGTGGAAAGAGAGAAAACCGACCTATCAAATATAATAATTTTTTCCAGGCCCAAATATGACCCCCCACCCCTATTCAGGATTCTCCAACAACGATGTGCAAAAAGTTTTGGGAAAAGGAGGTTCATCAAGCAATGGTGAAACAGCAGTTATACATTGAATAGCGCAAAAAATTCTCTTCCGGATGTACTACGCGAGGGAGAATGAGTTTCTAATCAGCAATGAATGTACAAAAAACAGTAATATAAATAGCAAAAGCACAGAGTGAACGCAGGGTGTTATTCAACGCCGAGCTGCGGCGAGAGTGGCAAAACAGCCCTGCGAATGATGTCATTTGCACCAGGACCCCATTCCCTCAACGTGGCCACCTGGTAACGCGTCAAGTCATACAGCTCGGAAGGGCTCTGCAAGTTTGCTCGCGATGCAACCTCTCGTATTCATGAAGTACTTTCGCCCAATGCAGACGTAAGTAAGTTTGAGCCCTTGCCAAGTACGGTCCCTGTGCTTGCTGACGTGTCCCTCAGGTTTGGCACTGACGGGAAGAATGAAAGTCTGAAAAGGTGGAATTGTTTTTGCCATGTTTCCTGCACGCGTGCAAGAATCAAATCCATATGCTCATCTCATGTCGGCAAATCGGATGAGAACACATTCTCGCAGGAAAATCGCTGCCGCCCACACTTCTTGACATATATTTCCTGTAATTAGTACACCTTCCGGGTACTTGTTCAGGCTTCAGGTAAACTAGAAAAAAGTTGATAACGTTCGGGGACAGCCATGTGGAATGCCATTGACACCATCGCAGTTACCTTGCGGAGAGCCTACGCCTATGTACACCTTAGGTGCTATTGCTCGACTTCTAGGGATACAAAGAGGAATGAATTAAGGTGCTCTTCGGCGATGGGGCGTTCGTTTGGGATGTAGACTGGCGCTCGCGTCCCTAATCCTCCGATTGTCGAAGCGCCAACTTATTGTAAGAAAAACTGACCTGCCAAGGTACCATACCCAGCTCCCCACCCCTGGCATGCCCCTGCCTCTGCGGCGACAATAACTATAGACTATGCAGTGAAGAACGACCTACCTGCTCTGCCACGGAATTTTGAAGTTTGATGGTGATTCCTCAGTTGGTTTCTCCTTTGAGATCCAGGTAGGCTAGATAATGGGGATTCTCAGTGAAAATGCACTCGAACATCCGTCTTCCCAATTCGTACACTGTGCCTGAACAACAACAGAATGACAACCGATCAATAGATGATAACTTTAGGGCGGGGAATATTGCACCCACTGCGCTGTAGAACTTGGTCTTGGGTTATAGTCACTAACTGCATGAGAGTATGCAAGGATTGAGGCTGCTCGCTCAGGCAAGGGGGGGGCAAGGGGGAGTGTTGCAATTTTTCGCTAGTTCCTACATCTTAACCAACAACACAAGTCTTACTTTGCGAAGGCTTGTCATTCTTGTAAACCTGCAAAATGGCACATGTGAGCTCCTTCGGGTTACAGGAAATTTACAGACCAGCGTAAGGTGGCCTGTACAATCCCTTTGCTTAGAAGTATTTGATGCAACACCTCCCCCTCCCCCCCCGAGCCGAATTGCTCCAGACTTATTTATTTTTCTTCTGGCAGTAGGATGAATTCGATTTGACTTGTAGACACAGCTGACGTTTAAAGAACTCGAAGTTCATGCGAAACTTCGTTCCAATGTTCTCGCAGAGGTTGTCGCTGGTGTCAAAAATGAGTAAAGGAGGATGTGATAGAGAGAGCCAGGCCGGGGCGCCGGCCGCGGCCGCCGACCGGCGGCGCCGCCCCTTTGTGACGGCTGTGGAAACCTCATACGTCATTTCTGCATGCCTCAGCAATAAAACAAGATGGATGGGCTCAGCACTATCATGTCTTCAATGCCTACTGGATTCCATTCGATTCCATTTCCGCGTCAACAACGCCTTCTGATGTAGCGTCAGACCAGTCACACTGCACACCACCTTCTTCCGCGAATTCCTGAACGCGACTGCGAATCTGACGAGTTTCCTTCTGAAGCTTGAAGTAAATGACTTCACCTATTTCGGCATGTTTTTCGATCGCGCGGTGGTCGTTCGGTCATAGCAGGAGGGGCCGTTCTCTCTTGGTGGTGAGGGAGCGCTGAAAAGCTGAATTTAAAAAAGGCGTATCCTGCGACTGACTGTCAGAAACATCTGCGTTGAAAATATAAAGTGTCTGTGCCAAGTATCTAATGTGTGAGGTAAAAAGCAGAGAAAATATTCACCCCACCCCCGTGTGTGATGCTTTCACAGATTCTAGCGACGGACGAAGACTCTTCGGGATTTCAGGCCAAATAAAAGCAGCAAGAGAGCATGCAAATGAGCGACACGATAGATGTCAAAGTAGGCGGAGTCACTGGCGTCGAGGTGGAGTTACTTGAGCTGCCTTACGCTTCAATAACCTTCGTTCAGAACACGCCTTACGGTGAGAAACTCCCAGAGAAAGCTATATTTGGTCGCTAGAGAGAGGCGAAGGTCGTAATAGCTTTAAAAAAGGTTTTAATGCCATTCTCCACATAATCCACATATGACCCACTCTGCCCACCCGCTCAACGGCAAAATCTCAAGGCAAAACTGGAAATTTTTTCGAGCCGCAAGCACTCAGAGGAGAGTAAGTAAGATGGTAGGTAAGGTTAGAGTCGTACCACAGGATGAAATCGGGGGGGGGGGGCGTCCTGCAAAGTCTTTCCCAGGGACGGGGAGTACCCTGATACATTAAAAGTTTCTATAAGTATTATGAGTTTTACTATCAAAATCACAACAGGTTGCCCATAGCACTTCACACCGCCTCTTTCTAAGCAGACTCCTACTAGTCGCGAAATGTGCGTTTGATGCCCCCACTAAGCCTAATTGCGCTGAAAAAAAAGAGAAATTTGACAGACGGAAACTGTATAAAATTGCAAATCGGCTCTCACCCGCCAGTTGAGCATCAACATAACGGGTAGGCGCTGTTCGGCTTAGGAGGGGCATGTGGTACCTTCACTAGTTCCTTCCGAAAGTTGCTCTATAATTACCCATTTCACTTGGGCAAGGCTTCTGGATTTTGGTCAAGGCCGCAAACGAGGCCTCGCACTCTTGTATAGCTCTGCAAGAATTTACATCTCACAAAAGCCAGAAATCAGTGGGAACTTGCAAAATGCCCCCACCAAGCCTGACCGCGGCGAAAACTTCTATAGGAACGACGCGACTAAGCCTGTACGTTTCTGCCCTTTTTCCCGCAACAACAAAGCTGTATCGCAATAAGTTGAACACTTATTAATGTCAATGCTAAGTACAGGAAATTAGCATCCTATTTCTTCTGCTCGATATCGCATTTCCTCTTCCTATCGAGCAGTGCTCACCTCCCGCAGCAAAACTCTGGGAAACTGAGGTTTCGAAGGCAAGTAGGACGCATCTCACGATTATCTATATTGCGGTTTGAGTGCAGTGTACCCTTCTGGAGTATATTACTTGGGCGGTTTGGAAGAGCGTAGTAAGGATGCTGGAAGCTTCTGAAACTTACGAGTCCCGCCCCTATCGAAAGAAACTAACGCTCATGGGCTCTTGCTGCACCGCTGGCGTGAGCTTTCCACTTCTTGTAGGGTGCAAAGTCATGTTCGCTGTGGCTAGGGGCGTTTCGGGTGGGGCAGGTGAGGGAGTTTGTATGAGCGCAAGGCCGTGCCGAACTCGCATTTCCACCAAAATATGGAGCAGGCTGGCAAGAGCTTGTGCATGGGCATTAATGTGCGTTTAAGGTCCCGAAAGGGAATTCGATGGCAGCAAATGCTTTATCCCGTCTTACATATATCGTGGAGTTGCAACTGCCTCAAAAGGAATACACTTCCCAGGGGATTCGGAATTATAAGTGGGCAGTTGGTTAATCGATGAGGGCCTATGAGATGTTTATCTGATTGAGCTCCAACACACAGAACAACCAAAGAATGCAGAATAAATTGCAAAGAGAATGAAAAGGAAAAGTGAGATACACTGAGAACGCCCACCTTGCCGCTCCTGGTTCACGAACTGGTGATTGTGATCGGGCACGATGCTTGGTTTTCGGTGAGTCAGCGGATTCAGCGTTGCCCATTGAACGCTTTTTGAAGCGATCGTGGTCAGAATCTGAGAAGCTAAGTTTCGTGCAATGGAAAAACGTGGCCTTATCATCATGGCTCACTGAGATTAATTAGCCAGCGGAAAGAGAAAAGAGTTCCAATCCGATCGAAGAAATTATTCACGAAAAAATCATTTGAAAGGGAAATATCCATATGTGTGTCACTTCTTCAAGATCATTGTTAGAAGCAGCCTGTAGGCGAACAAGCACGTTTAGATCAGGAATGGTGATAAGCAGTAAACAGGACCCGCAAGGCGCAGTTCGGTGGCCGCAGTTCACGGGGGGGGGGGGGGGGCAATTTGCATCCAGTGAGCTATTCCATAAGTTCATATGGGTTGACAGATTTTATCATGGTAGCTCGAGAAGCCTACTCTAGCTTAACAAGAGCCCACAGGCTTTCCCAGAGTAAAACCTGCAAACCAGAACTAGTGCAACAGTGAAAGTGGGAATTCCCCTCCCCCGTCGCTCCGAACAGCGCCGCGCCCCCCAGATCCCAAGTCGGCTGGAGAAAAAGGGGTGTTTCGGCATTGTCTGGCATAAGTGGATGGGAAGCGTCCCTACTTCCCAACTCGCTGCCTCTGTACTTATTGTGTAAAAATAGTAAATGAGTGAAGCAAGAAATGTGAAGCGAGGAAAGCGGCAAACGTTTCAGTCGTATTCTACGAAGATACTCCACAACGTGATGGTTAGACAAGAGGTCCCCTCTTACCCATGTCACTTTTCACCAACCCCGTCCAAATAAGGGCACTCGGTTGGGAAAAAGTTTGCAAATATAACAACGACACCCATTTTCACCTCTCGTAGAACAACCACCTCCCTCGCCCTATCCCCTCCAAGTCTTGCGGATTTTCCCGATTCCCCCCCCCCTTCTTGCGGAATTTCTTCTGCAACAATTCTTCATGTCCGGGAAAAGAGCAATCGGAGGATGGGTAGAGGGGTAAGGGGTCGGCGCGTGAAACGGAAGCCGAGGAAAATCATTAACCGTAAACAATTTTTTTAAAACCGCCCACCCCCCCTTCCTGCCATCGATCATCGACACTCCTCGCTGGGTATCCGCAACGTACGACGTGCTCCGGTCCAAATAGGTCATGTCCACAGCGAGTTCCAGCCAAGATCCTAGATGCCCAGTTTTACAAGATAGACTTCACGTGTTCTCCAGCATCATCGAATAACCCACATAGAGATGCCACCAGTGAGCTCCCACCCAAATTTTTTCAGAGCTAAGGTTCTGTACGGACCCTCAGTTTCAAGCTGGGCGTTTATTTTCATGCAGTGATGTTTTTTCATTTTCTAGAGTGTTTCACACACAACTTATCTGAAAATCTGATACCGCACCTTGTAAACATAGGGGTATCAGATTGCCGGTCGTAAAAAATTCCTAATGGAAGTAGTACACACGATATTTTCAAGTGCAAATGAACGAGCGCGGATGTGGAGGAGAAAAAGGTGAAGGAAAGATTGATATAGGCATTAATGCAAGAAGAAATAGCTCAGATCGCCCAAGGGGCATTTTGGGGACCACAAGCTGCAAAATGAGGCCGAGGTGGTGTAGTGACAAGTGTCGCGCTTACCACCCATGCGGTTCTGGGTTCAGATCCCTGGGTCAACCCCTGCCGCAGGCCTCTGTTCTGCGGGGACGGCAAATTGGTGCTACTCGTGAGGACAAGAACATTGACTTGTACATCAGCTGGCCCCCGCAAGTCATTGCAGAGGCCACATCGCATCCAATATCGGATGGAAGTAAAATGCGGGCCGCATTCCTAAAAGGATTGATCAACGGTACAGACTTTATCCTTTATCCTTCAAGCTGCAAAACTAGGCCACCTATAATGTAGACCGCCATTTACCCTGGATCTAGGAGGTCCAGGTGGTGATGGATGGCGGCAGCAATCCCTTTGCATAAAAGCGTCATAAGGGTGGTTTCGGTGATTCAGCTGGAGATTTTCCAGATTTTGCAAGAGAGTTCTATTGGCCCAATAATCCCTGCTCCCATGCGAGTACGGATCCTTGACCTATAGACCTCCAAAAAACGAGCTTAGGTTGGACTCTCGGCCTTCGCCCAGAAACGTCAGGGTCGGGTTGTCGCCGGGACAACCAGTTGAGAACAAGCGAGAACTCGCAGAATGTTTTGTAGCTACTTGGGTATGCATATCGCTTTTCCATGTTTAATCATTTAGGTCTTTAGCGAGTTCCGCTCAAGGCTGCCCCAACCACAACCAGGGGGCTTTGGCGTTATGAGTTCGCAGGGTTCTATAGACAATCTTAAGGTATAAGGTAAAGAAAGGCGTTGATCTCCGAAAATAAGCACATACAAAATAAAATTAAATAGAATAAAATAGAACAAAATGGCGTTCCCACATGCTCAAACATAAGAGAAGTGAAGAACTGGAGGTGGAAAGGGTCACTGGGGCTGTCAAAGGGGACTGGGTTTGCCTTGGCGCCAAAAAACGAGCTGGCGCCGAGCCACCCAGCCCCACCCCTCCCTGACACGCCCAAGCATCCGCAGCAAACAAGGCTGTATAGTTTCCTTGGCCCTGGTCACGAGACATCGGACGACATGGCCTAAATCCATACGGTGATATGACAAGGCGGTGCGTCTTGTGAGGTCCCCTGACCAGTAATGGATCGCGTCGTGCAGTTACAACCCCCGTACAGACCCATGCGGTCCCGTAATACTAGTGGGTCTGCTGCAGCTGGGAAAACCCAGTAGACACCGGCAGCCCAGAGCTGTGAATGATTCACAAAATCAGTTCGCCGCTGGCCTCAAATGATATATGACTTCGATGACGCAACCGTTTTTCCGCCGACCGGCTTCGTCGCCTCCACCCACCTTCCTGTTCGTCTGCATTTCCTTTTAATGTGACTGTGTTGCTAAGTTGCCGCCTCATGAAGTGATGCCCACGGATGCCACAGCAGCAAGGAAAAACTGCAAGACTGCTTTTGATGCCTATTTGGACCCTGGAAAAGTTTAGT